CCACTCTGTAAAAATGCATTAATTTAGTGTTCTTCACGATACTAACTCTCCTGCCGCAACCTACTTCGACAGGCCCCTTGGCGAGCTGCGCGTCGGTCAGTCGCGCGAAACGGACGAGGAACAAGGCCGGCCCCAGCACCCGACGGCGGTTGGCCGGCGAAGGCTCCACACCGTCCCGCACACAAGCTTCCGCAGACCACCTACAACCGCACAGAATCAGGCGAAGTGGCAGCCGGCGACACTAAACGAAGGAGAACCCACTTTTCCACGGCCGTGTAGATGATATGTTCCTCAGCGCACAACGTGTTGCGCTTCAGAATGGTCACTAACAGATCCTGTCCGATAGCGCTGAACTGCTTGCACTGCAAAAAATCTTGGCCGTGTGTGTCTGCCACCGTCAAGCACTTTTCCAGCAAACCAGCAGAGAGCTCGTGCGTCGAATGCAGAAACTGTTCACAACACTCGTTTAAACTCCATTATCCAACCTGTACTCGTTAGCCATATTCACGTTTGGACGTACAGTACCAATCGTACAGTACCACCAACCTTTTCCAGGAAGATGACGCACTCGTTGGCATTGAATGGGGTGTAAAAGCGCTGTAAGCTCAGGTCCGCCAGCTGCGGCAGATTGTACTTGTCAGCACAGTAAATGGTCTGCAATGTTTCCTCGGCTGTCAGCTTTTCCTCCACGCAACCAGTATACAGATACCTAGGAATGTCCATAATAGTTTTATAAAACCCTTCGAAACTGCGCTCAGCTATGGGTCCGACCGCGCAATTCTAAGTGGTACTAACTTCAGCATGATGGCAAAAGCACTCGGTAGAATCTCCGGAATATCAATGGGACTGCCGCCGTTCTCCGTCAGACCTCCGTTAAACATGGTATGGAAGACATCGCTGCCCAGACTCAACATAAACCTGCAACGGAACCACTCGTCAGTCTTTAGCAGTCGCAAGGAACAAGGAAGGCGCATTAGACGGACTTGTGAACGGGGAAAATCTTCACGTCGCCATACTGACGTCCGACAGCGAACTGCACATCGCTCAGTTCACCACTGGCCAAGATATGCTTCAACTGGTTAGTAACTCCTGCAAGTGTTGTTCGCCATTCGGGATTCCGTACGGATTGAGCGTGATTTGACATGGCTGAATGGTGAACACTCCCAGTAAGATCTCCCAGATCAGTCTTACCTGGAGGCGCAACCTAGATCATGCAATATAAATTCACGATCGAAAAAATGCAACCAATCTTTAATGCGCTTTTGGACGACAACGATAATATATTATGAGCCATGAGGAAGGCCAGTCTCTCTGCAGCTGGTGACCATACAGCATCGTATAGTAAGTACTCGAACTAATACGTGCGCTTGTATCAGCTGCAAATAACACCTAATCAGGTTTCGCTGCAGGGCACTGTACGACTAAGTCAAAATTGTATGATCTAGTTCGTACAACGCACAAGTGCTCTGCGCCGCATGCGTTCAGAATTCTAGGCTTGCTGCTGGAAAGGCAATCTCATGTTGTTTGTAATCCAAATTACTAGCCGCATTTCAAATCTCAAATGCGATTAGAGTGAATTACCATACCGCGGTTAAAAGCGTGAAAATGGGTTGATCATTTGGATACTTACATAATATGCCGCACAGAGCCGACTGCCCCACACATTCAAAACACTCAATGACCTTAACGAAAATTCTATGGCAAGAAACGTACGGAGTACAAGGCCAAGTAAAAAAGAAGCAAGGCAGCAGTTATACAATTCTGATGCTAATCAACGACTACAAAACAAGAAAAGGCGCTCGGAAGAGCGCAAAAAAACTGAACTACTACTCTGCCTGCACGCAACTACTGGGCCATGGACGCTTTCCAGGCCGCCATCTGGGCACGACTCATGCCCAGGTAGTAAAATGGACGTGGCATGTAATTGCGGTTCCCGTAGTCAACAATGTGTTCAGCGCACCCTTGACAAGCCACATACGAGACCTCCCTATCCAAGCACATGATCTTTTGCCCGTTCTTCAGAATATCAGAAGCCCAGACCAGCCGGCTTACGGCAATCCACCTTTTGGGGTCTGTTGGCTCATTCTGCACAACCAAGCAATCCTCTCCATCGTCCGCCATCTTCACGACCTTTCCAAGATGCCAGTACGCTCCAGTACCATCAAAGTCCGCGAACACTTGGAAACGCAGTTCCGTGGGGCAGCTTTCCGTTCGCCGAATGGAGCCTTTTCGAAACTCCGTCGGGAAGGGGAGTGATGGTTTTGTGTCGGAATGCTTAAACCGGTAAATCTCCCGCAGTTCGGAGTCCAACAGCAGACCACTCTGCAAAACTGCAATTAATATTGCACAAATACAACAGAGCTTTTGGGCAGCGTACTTTGACCGGTCCATTGGCCAGTTGCGCGTCGCTCAGCAAAGGAAAGCGGACAAGAAACAGCGCCGGTCCCAACATTTCACGACGGCTGGTTGGCGAAGGCTCTAGATTATCCCGGACACAAGCGTTTACCGACCACCTACGAATCACAACAAAAACGGTATATTTTGAAGCGTTTCGCAGCTCCCGGTTCTAGCCTACTTCTCCACGGCCGTGTAGACGATATTTTCGTCGGCAGACAACGTACTGCGCTGCACAACCATCTCCAAGATATCTCGTCCGACAGCGCTGAACTGCTCCGACTGCAAAACAGCGGAGCCATGTGCGTCGATGAACACCAAGCAGTTGTCCACAAAACCAGCCGTGCATTCCAGCATCGAGTGTTTAGCCTGCTCGGAAAAAGCGCTGATCAAACAAAGTTAGTTACGGTCCACAACGGCGGCTTAAGCGCAAATAACAACCTTCTCCAGGAACATGAGACAGTTGTCGGCCTTCAGGTGGGTGTTGACGAACTTGAGGCACAGTTCCAGCAGCAACGGCAGATTGTACTTGTCAGCACAGTACATCGTCTGGAAGACGTTGTCCTCTGTTAATTCTCCATTCAGTGAACGCGTGTACAGAAATCTGAAACAAGAAACCAGCATACACTATACGTTTGCTCGTGATCGGTAATCCTTTTCGTTGCGAAGCAGTCCACATGTATACACCGCGATACACGTACTTGAGCATGTTAGCGAATGCGTCGGGCAGGATCTCCGGGATACTGATCGGGCTGTCACCGCTTTCAGCCAGACCTCCATTGAACATGGTGTAGAAGACATCACTGGTCAGCGAGAGTACAAACCTGCAGAACAGCATCGATTACCGTTGTCAGAATGAATGAGTAAACATCGAGTGCCGTGTGGACTTGCTTGTGCGCAGAGAAGATCTGCACTGGACCATGCTTACGTCCGACGGCGAACTGTACATCGCTCATCTCCCCACTAGCCAGAATATGTTGCAGAAGATCACCATTCCTGGAAGCGTGCTTCGCCATTCGGAAGGCTGTGCAGGAACAGAGGAACGGCTTGACATGACTCAAAGAGGCAGGAAATCCAAAATACAGGAATGGTAATCTTCAAACAAACCAAAACGGCGGTGACTGGTTGCTTCAGAGAAACAAGAAAGAGAATGAATCCGGTGTGCAGTTCAGTCAACCAATGTCGACACGCTAATGTCTTATTACCTGAGTTTGCCAGTAACTTTTAAAATCAGACGTTTCAAAGAAAATAATCGGAGAGTGAAAAAATGAAGTGGAAAATGTTGACTGCACGTCTGCAGCACATCTGTCTTCAGTCACCAGTCGACAGCACGGTGATACGAACGCAACTCGAACGAAAAGCTTAAAAGACGTTTAAACAACACTGCCGCATCAGGGAGGTAACGATCCGGGAAGCTCTCAATAACAGCAGCTTTTGTACAGCAGCACAAGCCACAAGTAACAGTGCAAAATGTGTAGCGCGGCACTTAACATCAGAAAGTAGAAGTGATTTGAAACTTCATACTTTGAAAACCTGCTTTTCCATTTTCTTTTACCTGCGTAGTTTTTTCACAGACCTTTTTCTGTCGCGATCGATACTAGTAAGTTGGGAACTGCTGAACACAGGATGACAGGCCGTTGATTATGTGATATCTACATGAATTTTGCTGTTTGTACTTTGTAGAGTGATACCACGTATTCCCTGAGGATGGCAGCCAAGAGGGCTGGTGAGCAAATCGATCAGAATGGCAGCCTTTCTCGGCAAGATAAGAGTATGACGCGGATTGGGGCGAGTAACGGGGATCTGCGCCAGGAATGGCAGAATCTGCGAGCCTCACGAGCGTTCTGTGATGTGGGCTGCATGGTGCCGAAGCGGATTCTGCTGGGATTCCGTGTCATCGCAGTGTCCTCAGTGTGCGCAGCTCCTATTTCCGCACCATGTTCCTTTCGGGAATGAAGGAATCCACGCAGAAGGTTATTCAGCTACACAACATCTCCCACACGGATCTGTCCCAGTGAGTTACCAACTTCGCAAACTAGGTGGTGACCGTGTTGTGCAAACTAACTTTTCGATTGTGATGATGCTCGATCTTTGTAAATGCAAATATGACTTGCGTTGAGTGTGTACAGAGCAGTGTCTTTATTTGTTTTTGCCACGAATGATGGGCGTTCTCTGATTATGAACTTATGATGTTCGACGTTTTGCTGCACAGGCTAATTGAGTACTGCTACACGGAGGACATTGTCGTCACTGCAAGCAACGTCCAGTCATTGCTGATTGCTCCGTCGTGGACACCTGCTGGACGTTCATGGAAGAGCACATGCACGTCTGCAACTGCCTGATGCTGTACTGTCTCGCCGATTCCGATGCGCACACAAATCCAAAGCTAGCCGACAAGGCTAAGGCCTGTGTTCTCAAACTTTTTCCGACATCTCGCAAAATCCCGAATTTTTGGAGGTGCCAAAAAATGTGGTAAGCTGTTCTGGTACTTAACTTGTTACTATCAGCATAACAAGATTCACCTCATCGAGTTAAAATATACGAGAAAATTCCATAATGACCAACTAAGTCGTTGAAAATTGACAGATTGTCGACCTGATCCGCTGCGACGTCTTGTGTGTGCCGCATGAGGACGACGTATTTGGCGCCATTGCACGGTGGCTGCATCACGATTTTGAGCAGCGACGCTGGGAATTATGGGAGATACTGCAGCATATTCGACAGTCGCATCTCAGTCCACAATGTCGTGACGAGTACTTTCTGGCCTGCATTAACGCCTCTTCGGATCGTTCGAGAGCAGAAAATGCGCTCCGTCCGACAGAACACTTGAAAGTTTTGCCTGGAACCATCAACCAGGCATCCTCCACAATTTACACGGCAAGAGAATCTTATGGTAAAGTTTCAGAGGTCCTTCCTACCGAAACCCACGGACTACGCAGTAACGAAGAGATAGTAAAACGGTGCATATGTTCGCATTAGCATAGTTTTGACTTGATTCGTAGGATGCCAAAGCGTTATCGTCTGCGCCGGCGGTCATGTAGATTCGACCTGGTCCGTTCTGCTGGACAGCGTGGAATACTTCAATCCTGACACTGCACAATGGACGAAATTAGCACCGCTGCCGTACAGGGTGGCCAATGTCGGTCTGGCTGTCAGCAACCGCGCCGTGTTCCTGTGCGGCGGGATCCGCGGTTTTCGGAGGGGGGATGTGACGCCGCTGACATTACGCTATGACAGCGCTCTGGCTGTATGGAACTGTGTAGCGCCGATGCAGACTGGAGTCACTGGACGACGTGATCTGGGTATTGCCTCGGCTGGCGATCACATTTACGTCGTGGGGGGTCTTGACAACCATTACCGAACCTTAGCATCTGTGGAGCGATACGATGTGCTTAGCAATCAGTGGATGTACGTGGCATCCTTGCCAACGCCGTTGACGAAGTCAGCCGTCTTCAGCTTCGATGGTCGACTGTTCGTGTTTGGAGGCTCCAAGTCTATATCTGACTGTCTTAGTTTTACCAATGCAGCATACTGTTACGACACGAAAGCGGATGTTTGGAGTGAGCTGCCCAGAATGCCAACTGGACGATATAGCGCATCAGCCTGCGCGGGATCCATCCGGATGGATTTACGTTATCGGTACCAGAATATCGCTATTTAGTAGTAGCCTTAGAGTTTTTCCTTTGCTACGATCGTATAACAGTTGCTTGCTAGGTGGAAACGACGGTGTACGCAGTTTGAGCTGTGTAGAGGCTTTTAATCCGGAAACCCAACAGTGGACCAAAAAATGTGTGTTCTGTTGATGTTGTCCAGTTTGCGGCTTTTTATGCGAATCATGGATACTGGATTATCCTTTCTTGTAGGTAATTTGCGCCGTCCGCTGAATTCCGCTAGAGCTTGTTGCATTGGCGACAAAATCTATGTTCTGGGAGGCATCAGTGCAACTGTTGAGAAATCGATCAACGTATACAACATATCTTCGGATACATGGATGATCCGTGAAACCAGCTGCCGGTTGGAACGTGGGGCTTTGGTTGCTGCGTGGCCGAAATCCCGAAACTGCATAACAAGAAACCTTGAATTTCGGGTGCAGCTGCTTCCTGAAAAGTAAAAACCTGGCCACTTCCCAAATCAGTGTTCTGTTTAAGGCAACCAGCTGGAATACGCTGGTGTTCCTTAGCTTTGTCGTAATTCTTTTGCGTTTTGGGGGATTGTGTGCCTGTTGCGGCAATTTGTTCTGCGTACGATGTTCATCATTAGATAAGAAAAAGTGACATTTTGTGCTGTAATTTGTAATAGTGCGTATTACAGCTTACGCGTTACGCAACTGCAGACATATTATTTGTATAATATTCACTGCAGTATGTGCGTGCTTGTTCCTGATAAATTATCAAATAATAATAAAGAGTGATAATAATAATAATAAAGCTAACCACATTCAGTACCAAGTACCACCAGATATCGGCTTGCAAAGAATAACAAGTTCAAAATTTGCTTACCTATAGAAGTATACGAGTACGTATTTGCCATTCTACTTGTGCATATGTCGTCGCGCGGTACCCATCTGCAAATCAGAGTGCCAGGAGTCAGAAAAAATAAAAAAGAAACAGTGGAAAACTTCTACACGGGCGCCAAGTAAATTTGCACTTAATGTCACTTTGCGCCTAAACTGGTTCAAACAAGGATTTTCTGGTAAGCAGGGCAAAGGGCATGACGGATTGCTATTCTGGTCCGAAAATTAACAGTCTGCACAAGACCAAACTCTAGAACGGCGCATAATATTTCACGGATCATTTTCCGTGTTGCCAGTAAATGTCACAAAAGTTAAAATTGCCCAATATTACTCCTGTGAACAGAATAACTTTTATTTGAGCGGCGACAATTATCGTTGGTATGCGTGCTGACTGTCGGAACATTTCGGGTGCGCATAACTTCAAGCAAACAGGCAGCAGTTATATAGACACTGTTGCAGAATATGATATTCCAAATCGCGAAAAATCAGGCCAAACGCAAACTCCAAATGGAGACATTAACAACAAAATCAAACAATCCGTTTCTTGCACGAGCAAAATATTTAGTTAACAATTATAACAAGATTCGACCGTTCAAACACTCGCCAAACAAAATTTCGAAAATTCACAAACACTGAGTGCGTCAGGGCGGAGTGAAACTGCATCAGTCACCAGCGTTTATCATTCAGTAATCGGCGTTGGAATTCGACATGGGCCAGCTGTGATGCATTGGAGGATTTCCACTCCGCTATCTGTTCGCGACTCATCCGCAGGTCACACAGCGGTCCTGACCACTCGGAGCGACCGCACAGACCGTATTTTACGACGTGCACATCTTTCGCGCGGCAACCAACATAAGTGCCGTCCGATTCACGAACCTCACCGTACAGCGTAATCTTTTGACCTTTCTGCAGAATGTCCGAGGCCCGGACGATCTTGTGCATGGCGTACCATTCCACTGTTTCTCCTCCCACCCGCGTAATGGCAAACTCCGCTCCCCTTATCCCGACAATCAGTGCGGGAACCCAGAGATCATCAGGCGAACCAACGTCAACGAACACTTTCTCCTTGTAGGTGAATTCGGCGCCGCCGCTGGCGACGTTCAACACCGTACCCTCTCGCGGCTCCGTCGGAAAGGGAAGCTGGCAGCCAAAGTGGGAATACTTAAACTGATAGATACCCCGCACCTCGGAATCCAGCAGCAGTCCGCTCTGCCAAAAATGCAGTTAAGATTTAAGACAAAACGGTCGCATACTCCCGTACCTGTACACATGCGACGCGCTGCACTGTACCAGTCTGTACGTACTAACAAGCAGCGATTTCCGGAGAATATACTTTTTGCAATACATACTTTACATAATTATTGCAAAAGAATGATAATCCTTGCCCCGTTGTAAGAAATACTCTGAAAGAAATACTCTGAAATAGTACTTATTAGAACCGATTTTCTCTATGGAATGGTATGTTTCAGGTATCTGCAGGAATACATTCTCCAGAAATCGCTGCTCGTAAGTCAAAATATCCGGCTGTCGCAAAAGTGCGGTGAGCCGCATGCGTATAGAATGCTGGATATGGGAGCATGCGACTGTTTAACCTTAAATTGCACAATTGGATACTTCGACGCTTTTTGCATTCTGGACACTTTGACATTGTGAAAGTGTCCAGAATGCAAAAAGCGGATATTCGCGTATATGGATTCGCGTAGCAGATACCAGAGAACGGGTACTTTCCGCGTTGTTACAATTTACAAATGATAAATCATTCAAAAAGTTGATTAGAGGAAGAGTATTGTTTTTAAACATGCTTATTCACGATCTTTATTACGAATTATCAAGTTTTCTGATGTGGAACAACGCAAACTTTTTCCACCGTTTTCGTTTACGCAAAACCATATTATCGTGAAAGTGTCCAGAATGCGAAAAACGTCGAAGTATTTGATAGGATTGTCACGTATGAAAATATAACACTCTGGACTGTTAATAGAGCAACTGATGACTACTGATCTATTAATACGATAATAACTGACAGATCAATAATACAGTAGTACAATTATGAATTATGGTTACTAAGTCAGTTCATCACAAGGATGCTGCTTCCCCCAACTTACCGCGACGGGTCCGCTAATCAACTGAGCATCGGTCAGCAGCGGGAAACGGACGAAGAACAGCGCCGGACCCAACACCCATCGACGGTTGATCTGCGAGGACTCCAGATTGCCCCGCTGACAGGCTTCCCTAGACCACCTGTAACCGCCCCAAAACAGTCACTGTTGCAGCAAACAACAGTGGAACAAAGACAACCCACTTCTCCACGGCCTCGTAGATGATGCTCTCCTCAGCGGCCAACGTACTGCGCTGTAGGATCATTGCCAACGTATCCTGCCCGATCAAGCTGAACTGCTCCGCCTTCACAACATCGCGGCCGTGTGCGTCGACCACTGCCAGGCACTTCTCCAATAAACCAGCAAAGCAATCGTGCGGTGCAGATTTAACCTGGGCAGAAGAATATTCTTTTATCAGTTGTATGCAATCTGTACCGTATTTCTTAGCAAAAAAGGTATGGCAAAGAATAGAGGAACTAGGACAGTTGGTGCGCATTTCGGAAAAATAAATATCACTGCGCAGCTGGCTCACATTCAGTGCGCTTCACGTCGACAACAACTGCCTTTTCTTGTCATACACTGTGAATCTAAACTTTTTTACCACCAACCTTTTCCAAGAAGAGCAGACAGTTGTCAGCGTTGAAGTGGGTATTAACGCAGTGCAAGCACAAATCCGTCAGCTGCGGTAAGTTGTATTTGTCCGCACAGTAAATGGTTTGCAAGATATCTTCGGCTGTGAGTTCTTCATCCAAGGTACCAGTATAGAGATACCTAAGAAAATGCCCCCATTTAATACGAGACTATTTGCCCACCAATCCTCATACCTCATATGCGAAGCCGCGGCTCACGCAAATGATTGTGCCAATAATTCATAGAAATCGTGCGTACTTGAGCATGTTGGCGAAAGCCTGGGGTAGAATCTCCGGGACATCGATGGGCCTGTTGCCAGTCTCTGGCAAACCCCCGTTAAACATAGTGTAGAAAACGTCGCTGCCCAGGCCTAGTACAAACCTGCAATATACACCTTGTCAGTTGTAGCTCCATCAGGCGTTCTCAGGAACTTCAAGAGGCACTTGAACTAACTTGTGAGCGGAGAAGATCTTCTCGTCGCCATACTCACGCCCGACAGCGAACTGCACATCGCTCAGTTCACCGGTGATCAAGATATGCTTCATCTGGTCCGCGATTCCTCCAAGTGTCGTTCGCCATTGCGTTCGCTCAGGATTCCGTGGAGAAAGGGAGAAGGTTCCTGACATGGTAAAAGCCAATGATTGCGAGGAACGCCGATGATGCTTAGTCTCGGAAAGTCAAACTGCCAGCTGTCGAGTGAATCAGCACGGCAGGATAGTGTTGAATATAGCAGAAATCAGAACACAGTAAATGGTTCTATTATAATTGTTTATGGTTTACGCAAAGAATATGTATTTCCAAAAACAAAACTTTTCGTCAGACCGCACTGATTGCATCATTATATGATTATTCATTGCACTGATTGAGCCAGACAGCAACGAGAAGCGTTATTCTGGCGTTTAAATACACTGCCACATCAGGGAGGTAGCGGGCACTCCCGAACGACGCGTTCTTCCCTCGTATGGGAACAACGCCCTCATTGGCTGTGATAATTTAACATCACAACCAATAGAAATTGTGAAATACCGGATTACGCGGCTCGATTATACTAAAATATTTAGTAGCGCCTAATTAGTAGCACCTAAATTCATATCGCTTTGCTGTTAAAAATTTAGTAGCACCTAGATAAATTTGCATTGCACTGCAATAAAATATTATTAGCACCTATTTAGTAGCACCTAGACATGACCTACATCGCATTACTATAAAATATCAGAAAACCAAATTAGTAGCACCTAGACATAACTTATACGTGGCTAGAAATAACCTAGAAATATTTGTAGCACCTAATTAGTAGCACCTACATATACTGCACGTGCATTGCAATTTGCAATAATAATTAGTAGCACCTAGACGAAATTCGCATTGCAAACGCGAATTTATTAAAGTATTTAGTAGCACCTAATTAGTAGCGCCTAGACGGTAATGTAATGGAGCCCATTTCGCAATTTCTATTGGTTGTGATCACAGCCAATGAACGCATTGTTCCCATACGAGGGAAGAACGCGTCTCCCGAACGCGCACACAACCGCACAGCAGTAAAGTAGTTACTGTACTTCAAGTAGTCCAGAATGTGAGCGCGGTACTGTATGTATTTACAAATTACGTACAATTAGAAACGTTAATTTGTCGTTAAAGATTGGCTTTTAATATTTGGTTTTGAAAACTTTAAGTTTTCTACTTTGAAAACGCATTTTTCCATTCTTTTGGCTCTGAAGTTTTGTCATAGGCTTTTTTCTACCGGGATTGACATCAGTCAGTGGAGAACTGTCAAACTCATGCTGACAGGCCGTTCTTTATGCGGCGTAGGCACGATTTTTGCTGTGTTTGTAGAGTGATTCCACGTATTTCCTGAGGATGGCAGCCAAGAGGGCTCGTGAGCAAATCGGTCAGAATGGCAACCTTCCTCGACAAGGGGAGAGTAGGGCGAGAATTGGTGCGAGTAACGGGGATTTGTGTCGGGAATGGGAGAATCCGCGAGCCTCGCAAATGTTCTGTGATGTGGAGCTGCGAGGTTGCGAAGCGGAGTCGCCAAGGCTTCCGTGTCATCGCAGCGTCCTCAGTGTGCGCAGTGCGTATTTCCGCACCATGTTCCTGTCGGGAATGAAGGAATCCACACAGAAAGTTATTCAGCTCCACAACATGTCCCACACTGTTTTGTCCCAGTAAGTCTCCAGATTCGAAAACTAGGTATTTTGTTTTCGTTTTGGCGAAGGGTTTGTTTGTACACGCGAATTTACATAACTTGCATTCAGAGAAGGTATTTTATTTTTTCGCCACGAAATAAAGCGATGGGGGCTCCTGGAATATGATCATGCCATCATCATGGTGATCTTCGACGTTTTGCTTTACAGGTTGAACGGCTACTGCTACATGGAGGACGTTATCGTCACTGAAAGCAACATGCAGTCATTGTTGATTGCTGCCGCGTTTCTGGACATTGGTACCGTCGTGGATGCTTGCTGGGAATTCATGGAGAAGCACATACACGCAAAGAACTGTCTGATGCTGTACTGTCTCGCCGATTCCGATGCGCACAAGAATCCCGCGTTAGCCGACAAAGCCAAAGTTTATGTTCTTAAGCATTTTGCTGACGTCTCGCAAGGACCGGAATTTTTGGAGCTGCCGAAAACTACGGTAAGCTGCTCTGGTACTTAGCTTACGCGCTAAAGAACGTCCCGTAATGACGTAAACTTGGTTCAAAATCGACAGGTTATCGACCTGATCCGCTACGATACCTTGTGCGTGGGGTGCGAAGATAATGCAGTGCGCGCAGTTACTCGATGACTGCAGCATGATTTCGAGCAGCGACGCTGGGAGTTTTGGGAGATGCTGCAGCGCATTCGGCTGGCGTATCTGAGTCCACAATGCCGTGACGAATACTTGCTGGCCTGCATTAACGCCTCCATGGACTATTCGGGAGCCGAAAAAGCCCTGTCTCACTTGAAAGTCTTGCCTGGAACCATCAGCGAGGCATCTTCCACCCTCTACACCGCACGCAAATCGTATGGTACGGTTGCGGAGGTCCCGCTTTAGCGCTTTTTACTGAACCCAAGAACATGCACGAGACTGTCATATTTCGAATTATTAATGTTTTCATTACCATAGTTTGATTTGATTTATAGAAGTAGACTGCAAGGGAGTTATCGTTTGTGCCGGCGGTTTCAAGACCTGGACAGTTCTGCTGGACAGCGTGGAATACTTCAGTCCAAACACTGCACAGTGGACGAAATTGGCACCGTTACCGTACAAAGTTGCCAATGCCGGCCTGGCAGTCATCAATGGAGATTTGTTCCTGTGCGGCGGGATTCTCGGTTTTCGGATCGGGGATGTGACGCCATGGGCACTGCGCTATGACAGCGCTCGGGCTGTCTGGAAGCATGTAGCGCCAATGCACACTGGACGACGCGATCTGGGTATTGCCTCGATGGGCGATCACATATACGTCGTTGGGGGATTTGACGATCATTACCAGGCAGTAGCCACTGTGGAGCGCTACGATGCGCTCAGCAATCAATGGGCATATGTGGCATCCTTACCAAAACCCCTGGCGAAGTCAGTCGTCATCAGCTTTGATAGTCAGATATTTGCATTCGGAGGCGACTATAGGCCGTCGACTATGGACCGTCTTACCAGGGAACATAGGGGCCCTCCCCCTTCAGAAGAATCTCATTTTTTGCACAAAGGTAGTAAACATATGTAGGACATTTAAAAAAATATTTACAGCTGCTGTAATCAAGGTAGGCATGGTCAAACGTAATTTAAAATTGTTAAGTTGGTAAGTACTGCACATAGGTATGATAATATATCGATTTTTTGTCAGTTAATTCTTTGATTTCATAAGTGACGCATGGTTTAAGGCTGCGAGTTCACCTGCTGTGGTCAAGAAAACCGCATTGAAAACCACACATCAAGCATTTCACTCCAGTACTTTACTCCTGTCCTGTCCTGTATTTAACACTCTTGTACGTTGCTGCAGCGCAGCATGCGTATCTGTATTCTATCACGTGTCTGTATTCTGTCTGTATTCTATCACCCGCTTTTACAAAATTTGTAAAAGCGGTTTTTACCAAATTTTTTACCGAAAATGTTCTTTACTGGAATGGTTATAAATATATTCCTTTATCATCAGTTTTTCTCTTGAATTTCGTTTGAGCAACTATAAAATATCACGACCTCAAAGTGTCTATCATGTACAAAAAACTAAACGGTGGTGTCACTCATGAAAACGAAGAAGTAACGGAGAAAAAACCTGATATATTAGCATGTGTGAAGATATGGCTGATCTAACGACTTTAAATTGCGTTTGATCACGCCTACCTTGATTACAGCAGCTGAAAAAATTTTTTTAAATGTCCTACATATGTTTACTACCTTTGTGCAAAAAATGAGATTTTTCTAAAGGGGGAGGACCCCTAGGTTCCCTGGTTAGTCTGACGGATGCGGCATTCTGTTACGATCCGAAAGCGGATGTGTGGGCCAAGATGCCGACTGGAAGGTACAGCGCAGCAGCCTGCGTGGGATCAGATGAATGCATCTACGTTATCGGTACTTCTACACCGATATCGGAAGCGTTAATTCTTGCAGTATAGTAATTTCCGTGATCCCAGCTGTATCTCGATTGCTAGGTGGAGGCAGCAGCGCTTGTAATTTAACCTGCGTTGAGGCTTTTAATCCGGCGAGCAAGCGGTGGACAAAACAAATGTGGGTTCTCTTCAGTTTGTTCACTTTGCACTTTGAACGCTAATTTCAGCTAGACAGACTGGCTTTTTCTTTCTGGTAGGTAGCCTGCGCCGTCCGCTGAATGCCGCTGGAGCCTGTTGCATCGGCGACAAAATCTATATTCTGGGAGGCGCTGACGCAACTGTGGAGAAATCGATCAACGTGTACGACGTGTCTTCGGACACATGGACGCGCCGTGAAAATCAGTTGCCCGTTGAAAGATGGGGCTTTGGCTGCAGCGTGGCCAAAATCCCAAGGGAGCATAACGAACAACCTCAAATTGCAGTTCAGTTGTTCAGTTCATGAGAACCACGTCCGGAATGATTGTTCTGTTTACGACAACCATCGTCGATGAATTCGCTGGTGTTTTCTAGTTTTGTCGCAATTCTTGCGCTTTGTGACATTGTGTGCATGTTGCGGCAATTTTTTCTTTTACTTACGATGTTCATCACCAGATAAAAAATTAACACCTAGTGATTTATTGCGTAATACTGTGCATTACAGCTTTCGCATTACGTACGAGATAAATATTCCTAGCAGAAAACAACAGATAAATATTCCGAGCGGCAACGTTGCTTGGCCATATATCTCTGTTTAAAAAATTTGCTCCGCTTAAACATTGCCTTAGAGGGTTGGTTCTGGCTGCTTCCGCCTTTTTTTTAATCTTGTTAATACTTACTTTCTAATACAGCTTCAAGTAAACCAAAGCATACAGTCTGTAATAATTATAATTATTTTGTTAGACGCGCTCACCGATCATGTGGCTGATAAAATCAGTATATTTTGATATCTGAGCAACTGATGAACTGATGAACTTCAGTGTCCGGCCCTCGCTGCACTCAGTGACCTGGCATAAAATGAATAAGATGGCCGACCACAGCCAATCCGAGTCTTCCTCTCCGCCGTCTCCGGCATAATCCTCAATTGCAGGCGCCCACAGTAAATGGGTTAATGCGTCCACACTCAGAGCTTTTAGAAGCGAGCTTTCATCTACTTCGCAGCTGTTAATCTCCATACAAGTTATTGTGACTTTTTTCACTTTCTTCTGCCGTTTTGTCTACTTGAAGTCGACTACTTCAATTTTTCTGGTGCAACCTGCAACCCGCAAACCGTCAAGCAGAGATCGTCTAGCAACAGGCTGTTTGTAAATCCTACCATGCCTCAATCTCCGACAACATCTGCGGCTTCCGACTGGCGACGCGGAGCCCCGGGGATCAACAATCTTCTGAAACACGTTCTGGCCACGGGACAGATGACCGATGTGCAGTTCACCGTCGGACGCCAGCATGGAGCCGCGAAAATATTTCAGGCTCACAAGTGAGTGAGACCCTTACAGATTCCAATAACAGATTTCTCCTACAGATTTCTCCTCCAGTAATCAAATTGCGCTGTCTTTACTTTCAGGTTCATCCTCTGTCTGAATAGCGACGTGTTTGACGCCATGTTCAATGGAGGATTGCCGGAGAGTCGAGAAGAGCCGATTGATGTCATGGAGGTTCTGCCAGAAGCATTTTCCATCATGCTCGGGTACGCTGGGTTCAGCCTTAAGGCTTGTTTTGTTTATGCATTACTGTCGTGTTTGCAGGAATACGTAAAATAAGTAATACTTTTTATAATACAAGTTGATGGTAACAGTAGCCAGCTGGCAGGATAACTGAGTGGTAGTACGACATCAAGTACACAGCAACAACAGAGTTGCTAAGTAGGTAATAAAAGAAATACACGAGAAACTCACGAAGACCACAATTACCAGGATTTCAAAGGAGAATTCTCACAAAAACCTGGAAGGTTTTGCTAAATGCTCACCTTTTTACTGCAGATTCATGTACACTGGTTCAGCACGAGGTAGTCTGCGGGTGGAGAACGTTTTCCAGGTTATCTACTGCGCCGACAAGTACAATCTGCCGTTCCTCATGGAAAAATGCCTGGAATTCGTCCGCAGCCATTTGAACGCCGACAACTGCTTGGTGTATCTCGAAAATGTGAGTAGCATAGCATAGTTTAACCTTGACACCTGTACCGTTTAAATTCAATATCAGCTATCTGGGCTCGGAGCAGGTGAAACCATTCAAACATGACAGCGTTGCGGCCTGCGTGGAAAAGTGTTTGGCAGTGGTGGATGCGTCGACTGACGCTATTTTTCATTCGAAGCAGTTCATGGCGATTAGTCAAGATACACTGGGGTTGGTGCTGCAGCGAAATGCTTTGTCGGCGGATGAGAACAGCATCTACACGGCCGTGGAAGAGTACGTCGATTTCACTTAAAGTGTTTATATTATTCATCTTGATAACTGGATGCCGGCTGCAGGTGGTCTGTGGAGGCATGCCGCAAGAACAACCTCAAACCGTCCAGCGGCAATCGGCGTCAGATGCTGGGCGCAGTCTTGTCGCTTATCCGTTTTCCATTGCTCACCGATTCTCAGCTGGTCAACGGTCCTGACAAGGTTAGTGCAGTGCAAAAACTGCGCTCAGATTGTAAAGCAGTATTACTCAATAGTCAATACTCATTGCCAATGTGTCTTTTGCAGAGTGAACTACTTACGGAAATCGAACTACTTGCTATCTACAAGTACAAGCACGCCAATGTTAAACCGCCGCTCGGCTTTCCGGTTGAACCGCGGATGTGTACCGGTTTTATCGATTTTCAGTGCAAGGAGCTGGTGTTTGTTCGGGCCGGGAATACAGGCTGGCTGCCCGGAGAGATTAGTGACAGAAACGGAAATGGTATTACCGTCAACATCCAGGCCAAATCGGTGACCGTATATGCTCCGGATCAGATCGTGCGAGCGTCCGATATCTTGAAAAAGCATCAAATGATTATTGCTTGGCGGAATTGCTGCTTTAATTCAGCGGAGTACTGCGGTTTAGCGGCTGCAAGCGGTCGGCACATTGTCCACGTCGCAGACGGAAACGTTGAGGTCGACTTCATGGATCTCGTGATTAGTCGCAATCAAATGACGCTCTGGAAAGTAGCGAAATCCGGAGGTTTAGGCGGGTATGTTTAAGTTTCTATCCGTATTCGTATAAGAAAAGCGGATATAGATAAAAAAAACTTTATTCGGCATCTGCCAGCACATGTGTCAATACGCGAGCGCACATTTACACTAATTCAAATAACTAAATTTTAAACATTAAAAAAACATCCAAAATCCTTAGTGTCCTTCGTGGTTTTTGGACGTGTGTTAAGAGTACCCAAAACAGCGGCTGCATTTGCCTCTGACTACTGCTAGACTAAAACGTTGTCTCAAAAAGGGTGTAGATCGAGGTTCTCCAGTTTTATCACGAATCTTCCTCCCGACGAAACGGACCAGCTCCGCAAAAGACGCTCCGAAAATTCCCGGCGTCTCAATTGCCAGAGGTTATAAGAAATATCTCAAACCTTCGACGAAATCGTACTTCCGCCGCTTACTGTCTTCGGCCAACTGCGCTACACTTCCGGCTTTCATCGAGCTCGCGTGCACGTGCGAAACGGCCACCGTGTCCCAGCACGTCGCATCCCATACAACCGCTTTACCGTCACGTACTGGAATCGAGGTCATACCATCTGGTCGCTGCCATTTTTATCTGATAGGCCAATCGGTTCGGCTTGACAAGGATAACCCGCAAGCTCCACACCCCGTTTAACTTCGTTGTTCAGCTCAACATGACGCGACCATCTTCCCTTACTACTTGGACAGGACAGACCGTGGTGGCCGTTAGATCCACCCGTCTACCACTGATAAAACAGAGGATATTTGATTGTAATCGTACGGTGACCATGATTCGTTTCGCATTTTAATGTTACGAGTTAGCAACGAATTACCCAAAAATCAATTATGCAATTGTGAACATGTTAACCGATACCGGCGCGATTGTCAAAGTGCACAAACATTTTTAATCAGCTGAAAAGTCATTGGGGAAGAGCAAGGGCAAGGGCAAGAGCAAGAATGATTTCAGAACATTCAGACAATCTCAGAAGTCTAGAAAATCCACGTTAGAACTGGTCATCTCGTACAAGTACACATTCTGATGTTTCCGGTTGAACTAGCACCAATGAGATGTACATCTTCACTACAGATCTCATTTGTACGGCTACAGTATTTAGCATTACTCAGAATACCCTAGTTGTTTTTCTCAATCTACTCAAGTTGCATGAACAGCAGGACTACGTAGAACAGCAGCACTACGTATGGCGCTTGCAGATTGCAGCTGTAGTGTATCACATCTAAACGAACATTTAATATATACCCGTGTGGGTAAATTTGTCCTAATCTACATAGAATGTGGATTCATAAGGAGCAGCCGTTTTAAATGCAGTGAGAATAAGGGTGTAGTAAAAAGGTGCGATGTTGACTTCGTCCAATTATGCACAATTACTCTGTCGAGTATTTACCGTTCGATGCACATTGCACACTAACAGAATTGGTGGGAATGCTTAGAAGATTTTCAGAATTTTTATTATTGCAGGATGTGGAGTCAAGTTGTGAAGAGATTCGGCTGATTTGGAATCTTATGGAGCAGTCCTCGGTTTATGAATAAAAATTGAAATGATGCTGAACACTCATTTTTTTTCACGGTTCATTGATATTACTCTTGCTACTGGCCAGTTACGTACACAGGCCTTATGGTCAATACCATTAAAGTTTTACTTTTATATGTATGCAGATTGCAGCAGGCCAGTAGCAGACATAAACCGCTAAAAAGCATTAGCACTGCCATAATTATCCTTATATCGTACTGACGGCACAAATCAGGGCGTTATGTCGGCAGTTGTTCGATCAATATTAAAGCAGTCGTCCTAAAGTTGAAGCGTGTGTTGTCAGTTGGGATATCTCTGGACTTTCAGTCTTAATTTAATTGTTTTATTATCTTAATTCTGTAGAAATTATTGCACCTGTAGATGTAATCACGTACTTGCAGTTATTGTAGCCGTACAGTACTCGAACAGATACAGAGCAGACGCGTTAAGCAGACGGCTGTCAGATCGCAAGGAAAATTAATCTTGAAAGATGTCTAGTGCAAATGCAAATAATTTGTGTTCTACTGAATATCTAGTTATTGCCGGTCAAGTCAAGCGGCATCGAGCAGTATCCGTACGGAAACGGAAACGGTAATCAGTTGTTTTCGCAAACTATATAAAAACGATTGCAAGAACCGTCAATGAGCGCCGTTCACTGCGTTATTTCAACTGTATTTTAAGCTACCACATGCGGACACTGTCGACCTGAACTTGCGGATGACAGTATAAATTCAGCTACACCGTTCACTTAATATGCAGCAGATGGCTTCCAAGTCGCCATCAGGGCGCGACTAATCCTAAGAGTGTTAGACGGGCATGCCAGCTCCGTTTCCGCGGGCCTTTTCGACAGAGTCCCGGTAGGGCAGTGGTCTCGCTGGTTTCCGGTTCAAGGAGCAGGTTTCTGTTCGAGCCGAACACGACTACTGGATGCCGCGCGAAGTTGGTGGCAGACGTGGAAATGGTATGGCTGCCGAGGGTAAAGGGTAATCTTTCATCATAAGTGGATCAGACTAGATGGGCGGGCGTCGGATATCCTGATACAGGGCCAAGAAATTCGCGTTTGCTTTAATGACTGGTGGAATATTTTTCAAAAACTACTGATGGCAGTACGCACATCGCTCACCTCGGAAACCAACAGTGTGAGGTGAAATTGATCGACCTTATAGTTACGGGCGCTCAGCTGGCTGCCTGCAAAGCCGGCAAGTTGAAGTGCGGGTAGATCTGCAGCAAGCTTGTGTTTAATTTTCTAGTTAAAATCCATATTCATAAAACACATTAGTTAAAAAGCAGTTAAATTAATTTTGGTGGTTTATTTGGCGAGATCTTGTATTGCTTTAATGCGTCGGTTTTTTGATTCTCTGAGTGGTACAGGTGACCGGTACGCAGAATATGAAACCGTTTACTTAAAGTGAACAACATATGGGAAAAATCGGACTACTGCTTGATCTTCTCTTGAAAAATAAACTTAACAAAATGCGCGTAGACACTAGTGCACTGCACAGATAGTCCGCAACAAAAGAACTCACCCAGGATGAATCGTATACTTAACCAAATCAGGCATTCCTGTCAATCATGCAAGTAATATACATACTTCATCACACCACCATAAGCATATTTCATTAAGCGGTTTTTTAGCGGAATATCGACCAAATTCAGTGATATTAATACAAGTGCTCGCTTTTATCCTTTACGATTTCCACGACAGCACAACCAAACGCCCATTTCCCAACAGGCAGCTGGCATTTCGAGATCATCCATGTGCCCGAAAACACGTCGTAAACGTAAATTGTGTTCGTAGCGACACTGGCCTGGTTTAATCCACCCAGAACGTAAATGTTGTTGTCCACACAGTGAGCACCAGCACCATACAGTGGACGACAGATTTCAGCTGTAACCCAGTGAGAAAGCTGCATCGCACAGTTTTTAACAAATTTTCTATGCGTAGCCGCGTACGCACTTCTGGTTGTTTTCGGAAAGAATGCATCAAACTAGTGTACCACTTACATTTCTTAATCCACTGCTTCGTCGTGGTGTTATAAGCCTCAACACAGCTCAGGGCGGTGAGGGCGCCACCGCTCCTTCCACCTGTGAATGCAATAAAAAACATGACACATCGTACAACTCCGGAGATGTTTCGCGCCTCTCGCACCTATTACGTAAATCCACCCGTAGCATCCGACACAGGCAGAGGCGCGGAATCGTGCAGTCGGCATCTTGGGCAAGTCAGTCCAGGTATTCGATTTTGGGTCATAACAGAATGCCAAATCAGTAGCATTAGGAGCATTTGACAATCAACCTCCAAAACGAACAACTGATCGTCGTAACTGACGATCGCGAACTTCTCCAGCGGCGTGGGTAAGGACGCCACATACGTCCACTGATTGGTGGTCACATCGTAACGCTCCACTGTGGCTAGCGTGCGCGTATCGCTCCCATAACCACCAACTGCGTAAATGTGGCCCGCAATGGCCGCAGCACTATGATTACCTTGACCAGTTTGCATCGGCGCCATATCCGTCCAACAAGTAAGGGTACGGTTATAACGAATCGTCCGCGGCGTCACACGCGAGTCACCACAACCGATGATGCCACCGCACAAGAACAGCTCATTGTTGATGACCGCCAAACCGCTGTTGGCCACACGGTACGGAAGCCGCGCCAGCTTCCTCCATCGGGAAGTGCGTGGGTTAACGCCATCTACGCTGTCTACCTGAGAAATCCAGGAAGTTTCGGAATGCCCTCCGGCACAGACAGTAATGTTCTCAATCCCTGCAACCATAATAATATGGTGGATTATATTCGTGCACCGGGAGCAGCGCGAGCAGTGAGCAATGGTCAAATTTACGCAATGAAAGGCACTATGGAGTAACAGAATGGTCATGATGATTACAACACCTCAGAAAAGCGCTATCAGACTTGTGTCGTCTACAGACCTACCATACGACTTCCGAGCAACACTCCGCGACGATAAAGGCTCCGCGTCGCTTCCCGGTAAAACCTGCAAATCATCCGACTGGTGCAGCAGTCCATCTCCGCCGGCGTAATACTTAAGGGCGTTGATGCAGGCCAATAAGTAGTCCTTGATGCCCTGTGGGCTCAAGTAGGAGGGCCGAACGCACTGCAGGATCTCCCAGAACTTACAGCGTCGCTGCATGGGATTATGCTGGAGCCAGCCTTTGACAGCGAGCAGAACCTGATCTTCACCAGGCACCTGAATATCGTCGGAGCGAATGATGTCGATTACCTGCCAAATATACAGGGAAGTATTCCTTAGTGCTGTACTTTGAATTGTGCCGGGATCGAGGTGAATTGTGCTTTATGAAGGACTACAATTGCACCATGGCGTCAAATAAATACCTTTTCGTTTGACAGCGCAAGGAATTCCGGCTGCTGGGAAACAGAAACAAAACCTTGGAGCACCAACGCCTTGGCTTTGCGTGCTAACGCAGCGTTCTTATGCGCATCGGAATCCGCGAAACAATACACCATCAGGCAGTTCTGAACGTCTGTACGGCTTTCCATAAATGTCCAGCAGGATTCTACGACGGCACCAATGTCCAGAAACGACGCAGCAGTTAGCAGTGATTGCACGTTGTTGTCGGTGAGGAGAACATCTCCCACGTAGCAATAGTCAATCAACCTGGGCAACAAAAATTGGAGATTATTATATTATCACGACATTATCAATATCACAGAGTACTTGGTGTAGCGTAAAGAACCCAGCAAGAACGTTCCGCGCGCACCAACCATAAGGAATACAGACAAATCTTCTAACAACACTTTTCGTGTAGAAAACACCGCAACAGACGCAAACCCAAGAGTCCAAGATTGCCGTAGAAAATTTTCAGCTTAGCGGAAATGAGACTTACTCGGATAGAACAATATGGGAGATGTTTCGCAGCTGAACAGCTGTCTCTGTGGATTCCTTCATCCCCGATAGGAACATGATGCGAAAATACCCACTGTGCACACTGAGTACGCTGCGATGACAGGGAATCCCTGTAGACTGCGCTTCGGCACCACGCAGCTCCACATCACATAACATTCTCGAGGTTCGCAGATTCTGCCATTCCCGATGAAGATCCGCATTAGCCGCAACTCGCGTGCCAGTCACTTGCTCACCAGTCCCATTGACTGCCGCCATCCTCAATTTGTTTGTGGAATTACTCTTGAAACAGCAAATGAACTGAATAGTGTGCGCAGGGAAGAAAACTAAAAACCCAAGAAAATTAAGAAGCAAGGCTTAAGACTGAGATGGTTTAGCCAAACGTTAGTTCGACATCGTGACGGGTCGACATTGTGTCTGTACGACGATTTGAGAGTCCACTTGGCCGTTGTCCAACGTAAAGCCGGCTCGATAAAGAAGGAAAAGCGCGAGATAAATGGGTCAGTGTGTATTGAAAAAATCGCCAGCAAAGCAACAAAACACCAGCTGGCTCGTCGTAACGTGAATGAGAAAGAACTCTGCAATCGGTTTTACCGATGCGGAAATGCAAATGCTCTTCGGACTGGGTGGTCCACATGGCGCGAGGCGGAATGTGGTTGGTCCGTTGGTGGCCAGGCCAGAGGGCGCTTTAAGCGGAAACTGACGAAGCTGCGCAAGCTGAGCGGTGAGCCATACGGCGCTTCACAACGACATGACGGTTGACGAATTTTCGTCGACGAAATGGCAGGTCATGTTCAGGATTATTATTCTGCTACGATCCGCATTTGGACGTATGCAGTGAGCTGCCTGTGATGCCGACTGAACGCTTTCGCGCCTCCGCGTGTGTCGGATCCGGCGGATGGATTATTGGTTGTACGTAAAATACATAATAATTATGTCGATTTGGATATTTCCAACTCAAACTTATTGCGTTGAGTGTGGTTGTATGGGCACTGCTGTTCGTATTGTACTACCGCTGCATACGGATTTTACAACAGACTGGCTTGTATCGTTGTATACGAATACACAGCGGAAGTATTCTCATTCTCTTTAAGGCTTAACCCATGTTTAAGCCACACCCATGTTTTCACCGCTTAGTTAAAAACATCCAGATCGGCAGTTCCAAAGTGCTTCCGAGCCGCAAAAGTAACTTAATTCACCACTAGAGCTGGTACAATTAGTAATTCTCCAAAACATGCAGCTAGAGGTCAACGCTTCCCTGGTTTGTGAATGTGAAAATAATTTCAAGCAGAGAAATGAGAGAATCTTACGCTTTAATACATGCATTCTGATTATTGTACCTTGAATGTGAAAATAATTTCAAGCAAAGAAATGAGAGAATCTTACGCTTTAATACATGCATTCTGATTATTGTACCATATCAGAATTTTTCCTCAATATCACTCGATAATCTTGTCATTTTCAATCGTAACAAATGGATCGGTCGTCCCGGTAATTTCTGTTTATACCCATTGTAGATCATAAGGCATCAAAATAATCACAAAAAATGCGGTAACATCACAGTTTTGAAACAGTAAATCAAAATAACAAAATTTCATTTAATACTGCCGCTCCTTCCATTGTACCGAGAACGGAAGCAGCGTTGCCTCGCTGAATTTCCAGCGACAGACGTTGACGGAGGTACTCATGGGAGCGAGGCTCACCCGTATGCTGTTGAAGTCGCTAGCCAATTTCCTTCACTAAACGGCTAGCTGATTTTCCCCATGGTCCAAGAGTTTCAAAAACCAGCGGTACGAAGATGTATCTGCCCTGTAGGTACAAGTACAGTCCCGCCTTTCTATCCTCCGCCTGCGCGGCGGCGGATCCCGCAGTGACTGATGTGGCTTTCCGGTGAGACATAGCAACAGTATCCACGCAGGTCACGTCCCACGCCAAACACATACCGCGTTGCCACGCAAACGTGGTGCAGCCATCTGGGCGACGGTCCGATGTGTGGGATGTACCTCGCGGCTCCAATTTTGCAGGGATGCCGGCTGATACTAACGATCTGCACAAAATACTATTCAAGCCGCCGTGGCGTGGATGTCTTCCGGCTGAGAAAGCACAGGACAATCCGTGGTGGCCATACACATCAACCGGCTTGTGGCACTTAGAACATGAGTGCATGAGAACATGAATCACAAAATAAAACAAAAATATTACTCGTTGACGTCAATCGTTCCACAACCAAAAATCGCGAAATCAGAAAAGAGTCTTCGGTAACTGTTAATTAATGTTAATTTAGGTTTATAAGCAGTCAGTTTAGGCAGGGGTGCACGCGTACCGATATGAGGATACAGAAACGGCTGCGCATGCGTGTGTGCATGGCCAGCATGGGACAAAGAGCATACAAAAGTAGGTAACAACAAAACACACAGGCTGAAGTGACTGCTTTCCAGGTGATCTGTTGACTGCGACTGCATGGTGCAAAAGCTGTATGATACACCATGTTCCTTGATGCGTGACCGCGTTTACATCCCCGCAGAGTAACGGTCAGGCGGCGTATCAGTTTTTCGTCTCTCTCGCAAAATGGCGGCGGTACAAACGATCCGGATTTCTTAACAGAGGGCAACGGACGGGGAACAAGTCGACCAGCATCGCCAGCCGGTTGATATGGGAGGGCTCCAGACCCTTCCGCACACAAGCCGTCAGGGACCACCTGTCGGAAACATCGCTTTGACTCAAAACCGATACACTTTGCAAGGAGATCATGAACTATCTACTTTTCCAAAGCTGTGTAAACGGTGTCCTCATCCACCCGCAGCGTGCCGCGCTGCACAATCAGTTTCAGTGTCTCCCTGTCAACGATCGGGAAATAGTCCGACGGCAGAATAGCGAGGCTGTATTTGTCCACAGTTTCTAAGCAGTCCTCCTCGAGGCCAGCAATACAAGCATGAGGACACTGCCTAATCTATAGACCAAAAAAATCTTTTTGACCAAAACAGTTTCCTTCATTTATTTATTCCTTCCTGTTTTTGACATTTGCCCTTTAATATATGCATTCTGATTATTGTACCTTGTACATATAAAGTATGAATCGAACGACATCAGAATTTTTTCCACAGGGAGCGACAGCGTTAAATGAGATTTTGTTACTGTGAATCTGTGATTAACGGTTTTTGTTCTATGTTCAGTGTATTGTACCTGTATTTGAATAAATAAACCTTACATTAAAATCTATAGATAGATGCAATTATGCGTTACTTTCGCGTTAATTGTCAGTAGGAAAAATTTTATGTTCCAGATCTAGTCGATGCGGTGCCAAACAAGATGTTCAATTTAATCGCCAAAAGGCCAATTGGCGAAAATTTACCCGCCTTTTTGATACGACAAAGCTGCACAAACACAGTTATGAAAAAAAAGTTACCCTTTCGAGATACATGAGACAGTTGTCGGCGTCTAAGTTCGTCCGGATGAATTTCACGCAGAAATCTTCCAGCAGTGTCAATTGTAATTATCGGCGCAGTGGATACTATCCACTGGATAGTCTCAAAAACGTTTTCGTCCTTCAGACCATTGTCCACGGAATTTGTGTAGATATACTTGCGATGAGCGTATACATAGTAAAGTTTCTCGTTCTGCGCGGATACTTCGGCGAACTTATTGAAATAATGAGCAAGGTGAAGTACGCATTTACCGAAAACAGCACGACAATTATATCATGCATATTATTCCCGCATGCTGCAGTTTAAATTTTCTAAGATTCGTCTAAAAAAGTCGACGCCGGTTTTTCTGTCAAGTGTGACTGAAGCAGCGGAAATCCGGTGAACACATGCATCGCTTACTGAAGCATATTGCAAAACGCATCCGGCAGAATCTCGGAACACCAATGGCACGCTCACCGCTTTCCTTCCAACTCCCATTGAACATGGTGTAGAACACGGGACTGCTCCGGCTCAGGATGAATCTACGATGACAAGATACCCGCCGACACAATTAATCCGCCACGGCGCAACGCATATGCTCTCATTCAATATGCAGCCACGTAAAATTCGTAACAGACTTGTGAGCCGAAAACAACTTGGCGGCGCCGGGTGGGTTGCCCACGACAAATTGCACGTCGGTCAGCTCGCCGCTGACCAGGAGCAGTGTGCGCAGGTCCACGTTAAATTAATTTATTTAAATATACATTAATGCGGGAACTACTACACACTGTATTCGCCAAAACCAACTTCTGTACATACCCATGGAATCCATTGTAGCAATCAACCGTTCAATTAACTTATCGCCACGCTGACTGTCTCTATCGCAGAGCGGAAAGTAATAAAGGCGTAAAAGCTCAACAAGCTCGGCCATTCTAACGATTTAAGATCGGACAGGTATCTGGGCTCCACAATAATTGTTAAACGCATCCGCCAGAAAAAATCATGAAATTAATATGATTTGTTTTTACCTTTCTACTACGTTGCATGGGTAAACAGCAAGAACAATATTGCCGGATTCCGTTATCAATCTACGCACTATGTAGTCAACACGATACACGGTGTACTGCCCAATTACAACGTCCGCAGAGCGTTGGGAAATGGAGGTAGAACGGCCCGCGCTGAAGCGCTGAGTCTGACCCCTAAAAGGCTATGTCTGACTACTGAAGGGCTGAGTCTGAGTACTAAAAGGCTGAGTCTGACTATAAAATGCTGAGTTTTCCTAAGACTGCTACGGTGACTGCACGGGTAAAGTCTCGATGACTTTAACACGTGACTAAAAATTTGCGACCTACGGGCCAGCAAAACCCCGTATTACATGTAACCCTAAAACCAAGTTACGGTATGTACGTGTACAATCAATTGCGGTGATCGGGACGTACGCGGAACGGGACGTACACGGTAAATTATTAATTAACTGATGTTAATTTAATTACTGTAAGTTAAAATAAAACTGAAGTTAATTTAATTACAACTGTACTGTGCCCTAGCCCGGCACTTGAAGGATAGTGCAGCCATGAAATTGAAATTTCTACAGTGCAGCCACGACTACGAGCACTTGTATGTGTTCACCTGATTTCCGCTGCTTCGGTCACACTTGACAGAAAAACCGGCGTCGACTTTTTCAGACGAATCTTTCAAAATTAAACTTTCGGTAACGATAAAATACTGTGATTTGCAGCAAGTCCTGTTACGTCAATTTACGAATTGGAAATTGGTATGAGCATATCACCCCCGATATAAAACCATCGAACAATATGACAGAACTTCACGCAGTTTAACACTGTTTGACGAATT